GGGGCTCGGGGTGGGGGGGGGCTCTGCCTGTTGCTCACTTCTCTTTTTGCTTTACTTTACATTCAGGTTGTTGGTTTAGCTGCAAAGCAAAGTAGAATAAGAAATATTTCAAACACTGTGGTGAAAGTAAAGCAGATCCTTGGGCGAAGGTAAGAGAACAGGTGTGAAAGGGAAGGTGACACGTTCAGTTTTCCCTCTTAAAGCTGGTCAGTGAAACAGCATTGATATTGAAGGCATTTTAATTGAGTGTGATAGTAGTTAAGTTAACCTGGCATTGACAGAAGGGTATGTCAGATCTTAAAAGTTCATTATATTATGAATTTCTAATCCTACATTTCATTTCAGGAGTAAAAAGATGTGTAGTATTTCGTGTCTGAATTTGTCTGTGAAATCAAATTGTGGAATTTAGTATGCAGTTGCATATATGCTTTTGATATATGCTTAAAGCTTCTGAACTAAAACATCTTTGTGTTCTTACCTGGATGGTTTCCCGAGGCTAAAATCCACCGTGGTTTTAGTTGTGTGAAACTTTGCATTACCTCTTATTGCAGTAGTGAAGCACACTGGTGTAATGCCTGCTGTGATGCTTCAGTTGTTTGTGCTGGCAGTTACAGTAATACTGGAACTAAACTTGATGGTTTAGGTCTAACATCAGAGATGTGACAAAACTTTTCAGTGATAACCCAGCTGTCTGTTACAGCTCTTTTATTGGAAGGAGCTGACAAGATGATGTCTGTTCTGATGTATTTACCGGCGCTTTCCAGGTGCATAACTTCCTTAGTTAGTAGAAAACTAAGGACAGTCAGCTTATTGCTGTCACATTATTCCAGTCAATAGAACACAAGTGCCACTAAAATGTTTTATAGTGATTATTGAGGTTAGCAGGTTAAAACAACCTGTTGGGGTTTTTTTTTCCCTTTTCACTAACTTCTAGGAATTTTTTTCTGTGATTAGTTTGGGGGAAGGAGATTGAAAGATACCAGCAGTCAGAACTGTTGCTTTTTCTTCTCCTCTATAAATACATTCATAGAGTGGAAACAGGAATTTTAGTGGAAGTACAGTTTCATATGCTGCAGACATTATAAGGAATATCAGCAAAATGAATTTGTGCAATTACCCTTGAGCTTATGATTTATTTTGTCACTTTGAATTTGTCTCAACAGCTCTGGTGACCCACAGGCAGAGAAATATATTGCAGAAAGCAAATGTTCAGTGAGTATGATCTAGGGGTTTGGGGTTTTTTTGTTGTTCTCAGAATCACTTGTATCATTTTGTGCTGTTCTTGGCATTGTTTGTGCCACACCACGTTTGTGTTCTGTAGTGATCAGCTCTCATTATATGAGGTCCATTTGCTGCTGCATAGAATGGTTCTTGTTTTATGACGCAGAGAATTTCAGTGTGTTCTGAGATGTGGTTGGACTCGATGATCTCAAAGGTCTTTTCCACCCAGGCGACTCTCTGACTCTATGATCCACCATTGCAATACAGTCCAACAGAAAAACTATACATTATCTCTTGACCATTCCCAAAAGGGATTATTCTGAATATACTTGGGCAATAGCATTGTGGTGTTTCTCAGTGCTGGTAGAAGATGCTCAGGTTACAGCATTTTGTGATAAAAACACTTACCCACTTGATTTTAATCTCAGTATTTAATTTGGATAATACCCTGCTTGTTACTAGAGACCTCTTTGCAAAGCAAGAAAAGTTATCCTGGAAAATAGACTCCTAAAGAAGGAATGAGGCTTTTTTTCTAGTTTTTGATGGTTTGTGTTGACTTGCTTATATAAATAGCTGTTATTTTTTCTTATGGAACATAAGCAGGCAAGTACTTTTGTTCTAAACGCTGCTTTTGTACTAAGGAAAACCTCTTAATAGGTTGCCCAAGGAAGTTGTGGCTGCTCCTCCCTGGAAGTGTTCAAGGCCAGGCTGGATGAGGCTTTGAGCAACCTGGTCTAGTGGAAGGTGTCCCTGCTGCTGGCAGGGGGGTTGGAACTGGATGATCTTTAAGGTCCCTTCCAACCCGAACCATTCTATGATTCTATGATAACAGAAAAAGAAAGTCTACAGCCTTTAAGTCCTTATGAATGTCACTGTCGTGTCCGTTGGATAATACAAAGGTTTTTGAGAACTTTGATAAGTGTCTGGGAAGCATTTATTCTCTTTTAGTAGAATGCTAATGCAGAAGGTATTTGCACAGTCCAGCACTTTTTACTCTGAACATAAACTAAATCAAACATCACTTTTTGTTAATAACCAAATTGCGTACCTGACGCAGACACGTTGACTTTGCTTACAGGTAGTTGAGAAGAACGGAAAGCTTCAGTATGAAATAGATAATAAATTGATTAACCCAGAAGATGTGGCAAAACTGATTTTCAGTAAAATGAAAGGTACGTAAGTAAAATTGTAACCTATTTTAGTTTTCTAAGCTGTCCTCATATTTTTAAGATGTGGTTTCTTGGTGGTTTGTTTTTAATCAACATCCTCTGCCTGTGTTTGTAAACAGAAACTGCTCAGTCTGCATTGGGCTCAGATGTAAATGACGTTGTTATCACTGTACCGTTTGATTTTGAAGAGAATCAGAAAAATGCCCTTGGGTAAGAGGATTAAGATTTTTTTTTTTGTTATTTAATGTGCCTAAAGTTGACCAGCTGGAAGATGAGCAAAGGGAATTCTTCTACTGCATTTCAGCTTGTGACTCTCAGTCAAGACATTAGGGTGTTATTTGAATTGGGAAGACGTGAAAGTAGGAGATAAAGATCATGACTTTAGAAGATTTTCATGGAATTCCCTGTTGTGACCAAAATGAAATTCTGAATCAGATGAAGTAAGAGGGAATTTTGGTATCATCAAGGATGAAATGCCATTTCAAATTTCTAGTGGATCTTCAGTGTCTGCTTTGAAATGCAAATAATTTCTCAGTCCTCTTCCATAATTTCCCATCCCTTCATACGACAAAACTGACCAAACCAAATGACGTTGCTGCATGACTCTGCTGAGGGCTGTTTTATCAGAGAGCAGATACAGAATACGCACCAATATTCTCATTGGGAGTGTAGCTCTGAATGTTCTTCCATACAAATACATAAATAAACTTAAAGCTGTGTGTAGCTGGCAGCATCTGTTTCTATTTTCCAATATGCAGGAGCCCTTATGTTTAACTGTAATAAAATACTTGAGCACACTTAAAGTTGGTTATAAAACATTAGTGGTTGGGCATTTGCAGTATGTATAATGACACATTCTGTTGCTTTGGCGTACTAGTTTCAAAATAACTTCAAAGTGGAGGAAAAGACTTGCAGGGCAGTCCCAGGGTTACTGAAGTTTGAAGAAAACATGTAAAAAAAAAAAAATGTTAAAATGAGGTGTGGTAACTTAATTTGGAAATAAAAGCAATTTTCCTAGCATATCTGGTGAAATGATGGACCAAGAACTTTTAATGCCACACATCAAGATAAGTCACTCAGTGTGATTGAGGGTGGGTGGGGTTTTCATCCTATAGTTGAGGGGGAGTTGCTGTGTTTTTATGGAGTGTGTAGACTGATACATCGGTGCTCTTTGGCAGTGAATACACAGCAGATGCAACTACCTGGAAAACACAGTAGCAACTGAAATCCTTGATACCTTTCTTCTCCAGGCACTTTGGTTTGTTAATGCTGTGCTGTAACCAAGTTCTGAGTTGGTGGCATACGTAGTTCAGATGAAATCTTAATAGCATGTGTGACTATAGTGAAATCATTAAAGTAAAATGAAATACTGTTATGCCTTATCACAGGGAAGCAGCTGCAGCTGCTGGATTTAATGTTATGAGATTAATTCACGAGCCATCTGCAGCTCTCCTGGCTTATGGAATTGGCCAAGATTCACCCACTGGGAAAAGGTAAAATCATAATATTTTACTACTTAAATTTAAGCTGCTGTACTTCCATCCTGGGAAACCTTAAATGAAGGAATGCTGTGTTGCCTTAGCAATCACTACAAAATTAATGATTTGAGGCTTGTTTGGTTTTTTTTCCCTCAATAAAGCCAATAACAATTTAGAATTTGTAAATCCATAGTGTTTTAAATCCCTTTGTTCTGCTTTTTATTCTTTTATAATTGCCTTTAAAGACTTGTTCTCGGATTCTGTCTTGCTGATTGGCTTGAAGAAAAATGCATCCCTTCTTGAACAGATTTTGGCATAGCTGTTTTTTCATTGTGGGAAACGGGGTCATTTTACATGTGCTGGAAGAACTAAAGCCGCATTCCTGAGTTCAGCAGGTGCATTGAGTTTCCCTTGTGAATAGTCAGATAATTCACAAGATTTTCAAAGTAGCAAAGACTGCTGTCAGTGTAAACAGATGTCTTGTCTTCTCTTCTTGTTTGGTATTTTTTACCATTCCCACATAGTTCTTGCCTTTAATCTTGAATGTAATGTTCAATTATCGGTTGTGTTGTAGGAAAAACATTGGTTGCTGTATGAAATAGACTAATGTTGTTCTTTAGGGAACACTGTCCAGTAGTCAGTGGCTCTAAGATGCATTAAATACAAACACCCCAAATCAAAATCTCTTGATGAAACTGATTAAAACCTGCAATACATTACATAGTGGTCATCTTTTTAGCCAGTGTGTCAAAGTAAACATAATTTTAGATGGTTATTAATACTACTTTATCTCTCTCTTTTTTTAACCATGACAGCAATGTGTTAGTTTATAAACTTGGTGGAACATCACTTTCTATCACAGTCATAGAAGTAAACAGTGGAATATATCGTGTGCTTGCTACAAACACAGATGACAGCATTGGTGGAGTTTACTTCACAGAAGCTTTAGCACAACACTTGGCTTCTGAATTTCAGAGGTAGGTTTTGAATTCCAAGCATGTTGCTGTTAGAACAGGAACTTCATTATCTGATGCTTGCTTTAAAAAAATAATTTAAATCATATTGGATTGTGAAATCTATCAGCCTGTGAGTGAAATGGGTCACATAAAGATATTAGAGGAACAATCAGGTTTTGGGGGCCAAGGAGGAGGACTGGGAAATACTTGGTTTTGAGTAGATGTTGCCTGAAGTCAGTGTTGAACTAGAAGGGCTCAACTCTGAAGTGTTCTGTGTGAGTGATGTATGTGACTACAGGCAGCTTACATCCTTTCAGTCCCAAGCTTTTGGGGTGGCAGGAAATTCACCCGGGGGGGTTTTGTTTGTTTTTCATGTTGGCACAGAGGACTGTGGCGGGAATTGAGTCATCAGACTGAAACCCATATGGCACATCATCCTATGATGAACAAAGGCATTACCACTAGCTCTAGTGATCTTGAGGTGGTCAGTTCCGTACTATCACAGTGGATGAAACATATTATTTTGTTGGCATGTCTAGTGCTTGATTTCTCTTTCTTAGAATCATAGAAT